TGATGAGAGCTGAATAGTTTGAAATAGATCTATACTAGTCTTCCTTTATTTATTTATCAGCACAAATTCAACACAAATGTAAAAAAGGCAACAGTAAAAATATTGGGTTTCTGTCATGATGGTCTCTTGTGACGAGCCAATAGACAGAGAATGGAAGCAGTCTGCTTCCTCCCATATTTGGGCATACCATGGGTTGTGACACCTCGAGCAATTTCAATTAAACTTGCTACACATATGACTTACTCTCTGAAAACAAATACCCCTTGGGTGTGTGTGTTCTGGTAAGATACAGCCTGTTGTGCCTTAAAACAGCTTCTACCATATTGCCATAAAATGGATTCTACTGTACAGTGCTGTGGAGTTGCCATGGTAATGGCTTCACAGTACTCCACAAGGGGGCTCCGTCTGGTAAGGGGGAAAATCCAACATTAGAAATTGCAGCCATGTTCATGGAAGGAGGGTTGGGATCAATAAAAACCCGGGCAGTGGTGGGTTATCAGCTAGTAGTTTAATAAAAATGCATAACACATTGTTTTAAAAAAACTAAAGTCAAGATAAAACAAAAATATGTTACAACACATGGGCACAGTGTTCACCATTCACCCCACTACGGAATAGTTTTGTTTTATCAACGTTCGAAAGAACAGCCATGAGAGAACCAGAGACATTCCATGATAGGAGGACTGCAACTAAAAACATTCCTCAGAGACTCCTCCCTCTCCCTCTCTAACGTATATGTACGCTGGACACATATAACAATATTTCAATGTCAAGCCACATAAGGCTTTATAGGTAAAGACCTGATCTTTAAATTCCACCCAAAAATGAATAAGCCTCTTAATTTAGTTATCATTTTGAGTTGAAAATATGTCCCCAGGGCCTTTGAGGACAATGTAAATCTTTTTTTCTGCCAAAGAACTGCAGTTAATTTTTACATGGAAAACTTGGAACCCCCCTTGAAAAATTGGGATGAGGTACAACTAGGTCTAGATTCTAGACAGTTC